AGAAAGTGAGAAAGCACCCCTTGGGGAGATGACCCTGCTGCAGTCCCTTCTCCTCCACTCTCCTTTTGGAATTTTGAGCAAGCACAAGTACTCGATGTGTTTTCCAAGTTGCTAAGTCCAGAACTCAAACTGTGTTGTTGGCCATATGGGATCCAACCACCTGAATCTCCACGTCATCTGCTGGCCCTGCCTGAACTATATCTTCTATTGCACTTTCCTTGAACATCGGTTGAAATAGTTTAATATCATAGAATGTAATGTTAAATTATAAACCATTTTGTTTTTCCCAGTATTTTTTCATATGCATTTCTCAAAACATGGTTTGAACATCTTTTTGTTATTCTTCAGGGTATATAGTAAAGTGCTAGACAAATAACAGATTCACAATGTATCTTTTCTGAAGACTGATTTACAGGGAGAAAACAACCTAATATTAACCATAAACTGTTAACATATTCCAGCCTAAATGATCATATTTAATATTGCTGGGATCTTTAAAATGGTCATTAAAGTTTGCAAAAGTGGGATTTTTATAAGTGTACTGTGGTAATTAATTACTTAGGAATTCTAATTCAAAGCTAACTTCAGAATTAGAATTGATAAGTCAGGACTATTTGACCATTATATGTTCATGAGTAATTATTTCATAATGATACTGATTTTCATTCAACAACACATGTGAGCAGCCACCAAATTTTAGAGCCACACTATAGTCCATCTCTCAGAATATTTGGAATCACATATTATAATTTTATGTCAATAGCTTTTTCTTAAGCAGATGAAATTAAATTTTTTCCTGCATGATTCTCCCAAGCTTGACTAGACCAATGAATATCGTAGTTCGATAAATGCAGGATGAATTTCTTTCTGACCATTTTCAAGTTCCAGGTAGCATTTTCATTATCTCAGTCGGAATAGAAGAATCAGGTACAAGCTCTGTCTCTCTTTTGTATTAGGGACATGGCGTGACTTAATTGCTGACAGCCACGATTTACTCAGCAGTAAAGTGCTAAGCATGCATCATTACATTCCTTAGGACACCTCTTTGAGTGGATGCAATAATTTATTATCGAGTAGGTCCAATTCTCCGTTGATTTACACAAGGGGTATTAATACTCCATCTCACATAGTGCTTTGCTAGGAGGAATCCAAATCCAGGCACTAAAATCTTTATGGCCTCCCCCGGAGGAGTTGGGACGCAGGTGGTATTCTCATTACCAGCGCCAATGAAATGAAGGGGTTTGCCTGAGGTCTCCTGGCCAGTCAGTTATTCAGGGACCAAAATCTGGGTCTCCCGATGCCTAGCATACAGTCATAAAAACACAGAACTCCCGGGAGAGTCACCCAGATCACGTGTACAGAAAAGACGAGGGAAAACGAGGCCCTGGACATTCATTGCAAAATCCCCATGGCAACTTGTCACCGATTCCCTCTACTGCGCATAGAACACAACCAAGGGTATCAAACAACATAAAATCCTAATGGTGCCCTTAATTAGCTGGGACTCCTTTATCTCCCACTGTCTAAGTCAGTGGCCCCAAATTCCTTTCTGTGGTGCCTGTTCTTGAAAGCAAGACGTAGTTACAGAAACAATCTTGGCTTATAAGGGAACATCAAGCTCTGATGATGATGAAGTTTGATAGCAATAATGTCAAACTTTATATGGCCATAATCCAAGTTTACAATGATGCATTAAACCATAATGCTACTATTTATATCACCATAAACAGCGTTTATGGTGATATAAATAGTCATGCTAATGGCATTAACAGCGGCACTCCATGGAAACACAGCTGTTGAATGCTGCATTTATGCTATTAACATTGCTATTTATATCACCATAAACTCAGGTAGGCAAACTTGGTACATATGAATATATAGGAAGATGGATAGCCACATTTTATACCCAAATTGAGCCTCCTGTACTGGAGATTGTGCAGCTGTCCCTCTCCACTGCATATTAAAGTCTCTCTTGCTCCACCTTTGGCTCTGCTGGTGTGACCTGATGCTTCAGTAGGAGGCTATGGAAGAGCAAGTCTGTTTTCTGGCACTTTCTGAGGAACCTGGGCACACTATTTCAGTGAGATAAGAAAGTGCCGGCTGAAGCTGCCTGGCAAACTTACTGTCTCCTTGGCAACGCAGGGGACCCACGCTCAGTTTGGCTTCTGAGCCTTGCCGGTCAGTATCTCCAACCACCACTTGGCTCACTGGCAGGTGATCTTTGTAGGATAAGAAGCCAGCGTCCTTCCTCCTGAATCAAAGGGAAAGACAGGAAAGGATGAGGGAGCTGAGTTAGAAACAGGTCTTCTCTGATAATCATTTACGTTGTGTAATAAACAATGACATTTTAGTAGCTGTCTGGAAATTCCTTAAACCACCCGCTTTCTATTGGTGGCCTCACAGCACATTACACAGAAGCAACTTCCTCTTCTGGAAAACAGAACCTACACCCTGGTTTCCAGAGATTCACAACCAACCTGCTGCACATCATTCTAGGTTGAACGTAGACCACAGCGTAGCCAAATACTGAGCACACACGCAGAGCTTGCCGTTGTCATGGCATCAAGTTCAACAAAGTCCACCTGACCTCTTCAGTAATATATAAAACAACCTCCCCCCTCTGAAAAACAATAATTGCTTTGAAGCAATTCCTTCAGAGGCCATCTTTCCTGTGTGCATCAGCTAAATAGGGACACCTTTTGTGCCCTGGCCTCGTGTTTACTTTAACAACGGAGGTAGTTTAGTGAGGTTTCCAGCATGGACCAGGTGCTCAGTAAGCATCTATTTCCATCTGTAATGAGGAGTGGAGCTGAGATTCAGGTCCGCTTGGTTCTCTGTACATACTTCTCTCAGGTCTCCCACTCGACCTCATATCACCCCCAATGCAGGAAACAGACAAGGCTAGTAGCCAAGTACTGATTCTAGGAGGGAACACAGAACCCAGCAGATGTTCCTGGGGCAGAGTCAAGGTGAGCTGGGTGTGGCAGTGGTTTTCGGTCCTGTGTGCCACAGACTTACCTCAGAGAAGTTGCTTCCCCTTCCCTCTCTGCCGCCATGGTGGAGGGATACCCTCATGTGGGGTTAGATGGGTGAGAGGTACAAATCAGTGTCAGGTCATTCCCCACATTTACCCTTTTTAGGTGATTTTTGTTTTTACCCTGTTCAGTTTGAACATACATAACGATTTTGGAATTTTTGCATAGAACTGATCACAGAAAAGAAAAAGAAATGATTTTGGATTCTAGGAGAATGAGACAGGCAGTTGAAAAATCAGGCTAAAGATTTGTCATTCACATATCTTGGCTAAGAGTGCAGGAACTGAGGGGAACCCAGGCAGAAGCTTGGCTCGACAATGCAGTGCTGTCAGGAGCAGCTACTTACTCCTCTGAGCTTCTAGAATGCCAGGGAGCATACATTCCTTATGTGACAGGACCCATAGAACCCAGGAAGGAAGCCCACGACTAGGCCAGTGGGCCTTGAGCAAATGTACTTTATAATACCTTAGTTATCTAATTGTTCTCAAGAATCCAAAATAAAGGTTTTTAAGATTGCTTATCATATTAGAACTAAGATCATGCAGAAAAACATTTTTTTTTTTAGTTTTTTTTTTTTTTCCATATGGTGTGTGTGGAAACAGAGAGATGAGAGATAGAGAAAAGGAAAGTGAGAAATCATCCTCTGGGGAGATAGCCATGCCATAATCTTTTCTCCATCCTCTCTTGGGATTTTGGGTATATATGTGTATGTGCCTAGTGTGATTTTCAAGCCACCAGGTCTAGGACTTTAACTATGGCTGGCCTTGTGGGATCCAGAGACTCAACCACCACACCATTTGCTGAGGTGTCTTACTGACACTATAGCTACTAATGACCAGGCCTCAAACATCTCAGTAGAATTTTGGCAAATTCACTTCCTTTTATTAGAAGTTCTATGACTTAAAATCATGTTCAAAGAGAGAATGAAATCTTTGCTATTAAACTTGATATTTAATGTTTTTTAAACACTAAATTTATTATTATTTCTTAAAGGGATCGTAAGTCAAAGCACCTTTAATAGCATGCTGTAATTTGATGACTCATCATCAAATCATGTTGTGTATTTTTATGGGATTTAGGGCTGAGATACCCTCTGAGTTGATGATCACTTAGAATCACATGACTACATTTCATGGCTATGCAAACTCAGTCCTGAAAACCAAAGTCATCTTGCCACTTGTTTTCATATGACCCAAAAACTAAGAATGATTTTAACATTTTAAATGGCTAAAGAAAAAAATCAAAAGAATGATTTGTGATGTGAAAATAATATGAAATTCAGTCAGTGTCTATAATAACAGCTTTTTAAAATACAGCCACCATTTTTTTTTTTTTTTTTTTTTTTTTTGTAGAGGTTTTTACTATAGGGTGCATGCGCTTGTTGGAAAGACAGAGAGAGACAGAAAGAGAGAAGTCACCCTACCGGGGGGGATGGCCATGCCACAATCCCTTCTCCTCCATTCTCCTCTCGGGATTTAGGGCACGCACACATAAGCCTGGGATGAGTTTAAGCCACCAGGTCCAGGACTCCAACCATGGTCAACTACGTGGGAGTCCAGTGACATAGCCATTATACCAACTTTTTAAAGAAACATATTGTCTGTGGGTGCAATGGCAGAGTTGAGTAGCTGTAGTAGTCTCCACGCAGCCCTCAAAGCCTAAAATATTTACAGTTTGACCCTTTATAGGAAGACTTTTCCCCTCCTGCTTTAACTAATCATTGTTCATTTTTTTTCACTCTAAGAATCTACTGGGCAAATATTCTACTGATCATTCGTTGTGGGCATCTTGTGGCTAACTCAGGTCTCCAAAGTTGAGTGTGGGTTAGGAAAGGAGGAAAAGAATATATATTGAAAATAAATGGAAAGAAACCATTTAAACTTCAATGCATTTAATCTGGTGGGGAGAGACAATGTGTGGGGCTCTCAGTGTTTAACTGTTCCAGCATTTATAAGATAGTATGGATAGTTTAATAAAAACAAGGCATTTGAGGGGTAGAATCTCTGTAACATTGCATAATGAGTAATGATTATGAAAATCTGAAAGGTATGTGCAATGGATTTTCATATGTACAGATACGTATATATGCATGCATACACAAAGAAACTGCAAAGGTCCACAGAAAAATGAAACTAAAGTATGAGTTTATTTTGTTGCAAAAAACCTTGAAGTCCATGTATATATATATATTTAATAATATAAATTTTCCATGAACTATTGAAGACCTTTCCCCCCATATACACAACCATGGCCCAGATAGTGATTTAGGGTATCTTCAGCACCCCAGAAACACTTTCATTTCCCCGTCTAGTCTGTATACTTTCCTCGAAGGTAACCATGACTCTTTGAATTGATATCATAGAACAGTCTTACCTGTTCTTCGTCTTTTATATAAATAGAATCATGTGCATTTTTATGTGTCTGTGTACTTCATTTTTTTTTTTTTTGGAGAGATTTTCGCTATAGGGCGCGTGCGCTCGCCAGACAGACAGAGAGAGACATTAGAGACAGAAAGCGAGAAATCACCCCCCAGGGGGGATGGTCACGCTGCAATCCCTTCTCCTCCGTTCTCCTCTCGGGATCTTGGGCACGCACGCACACACGCCCGGCGTGAGTTTTAAGCCACCGGGTCCAGGACGCGAACTGCGGTCGACTACATGGGAGTCCAGCGACATAGCCATTACGCTAACTGCTGGTTCCCTGTACTTCATTTTTTTAAAAGAAGTTTTTGCCTTAGGGTGTGTGTACTCAGTGGAGAGAGAGACAGAAACAGGAGGAAAGTAAGAAGTCACCCCCCCCCAACACACACACACACACACACACCCTGAGAGGATGGCTGTGTTCTTTTCTCCTCCATTCTCTTCCTGGGATCTTGGGAATGTACGCGCGTGCGTGCGCGCGCGCGCGCACACACACACACACACACACAGCCTGATTTTGAAGCCATTGGGTCCAGGACTCAAACTGTGGTTGATCATTTGGTTGTCCAGCCACATAACTGCCACACCATCTGATGGTCCCATGCCTGTGTCCTTTTACTTAACTCTATCTGTGAGAGTCATCCAAACTGTTTACTCAAAATATCTGGGGCTAGTCCCATAGCCTAGTAGTTAAGGGAACCAGATCCCACATGACTGACTGCAGTATAAATTCTGACTCTGGTGGCCTGAAAAACATACCAGGGTAAGGACATGCCCCAAATTCAATTGGATGGGAAAATGGCAAAGTGGTTGTGGCATGACAACACTCCATGGTGAGGTGCTTTATCCCTCTTGCTTTCTGTTTCTCTGTCTCTGTATGTGCCCTTTGGCAATTAAAAGTATTTCGAGTAAAAGATGTTATATTAATAAGAGCATAGTATTACTCAACAGTGAAAATGAACATTCTCTTGTTATCATCATTTGGGCTGTTTCCAGTTTTTGGCTGTTGGGAATAAAGCTGCTGTGAGCATTCCTATCTATAAATGTGTTACTTATTCACATTCATTTACATTGAGTATTTACCTAAAATCAAAAGTGCTGGGTCATGAGGTACATAGATGTTTAGCGTTATTGGATAATTTCAGGCAGTTCCCCACCAGCAATGTATGAGAATTCAGGGTGCTCTAGATCCTTGCCAATATTTGATATTGTCAGTCTATTCACAAGTGAGTAAGTCAGCGGCATTATAATGAAATCTGTGTTAAACCAAAATCATTTTAGAAACTAATGTTTGGGAATTCTCTAATTATGAGGTAATTTTATTGCCACAACTGATACATACACAACCTTACAGGAATTCACACATCTACACACTTTCATCATTTGGAAATATGTTTTTAAATCTTTACAACAATCTCATAAACGCGGAGTTTCAGTGTGCTTGGACTAATTTTTTTAACACTAAAATCAGCCATTATTTAGTTATTGTGCAGAATGCATCAAGGATAATAGAAATTTACAAGCCACGTTTTACTAAAACTTTTGCATCATTGGTCAATAAAACTGAAAAATTTGAATCGTGATTCATTGGGTGCACTTAATAATGTACATTATCTCCATTTTACTTATAAGAAGAATAAAACTCAGAGAATATATTTCAGCCAAGGTCACCAGTGGTAGGTCATAAGTGGTAGAATCTGGATTCCAATCCAGACTATCTGGATTCCATGCTAGGACTTTCCACTAAAAAGGAGGAGAAAGAAAAATAGGATAACCAACCCCCAAATACCTACGTC